ATAAAGTCTAGTAATGGTGGCAAAACTTTTGCGCCATTGCACTATTTAATGTAAAAGTTACGTACAATTTTGTAATTTTACTGAATATATTATTCCGAAATTACAAACTTAATCGAATCAGCCGAAAAATCGTTCGGCTAATTTTTATCAGGCGTTCCAGGAATTACGATAATAGCAGTAAGCAATAATTAACCAGCAAAATTTAGCGTCCAGAAATTTTACTTAGTACTGTTACACCGGGAGAGCGGACTAATCCAAATCAACCAACAAACCCAACAAAACCCAGATAACGATAAAGAAACGTTACGCTTCGGGGTGTACGATAAACACGTGAGCAGAATAATTAGATGAGTGGCGATAATTCTACTATACAGTAGAACTTAGCAGAATATTAAGAAATGGATTATTAGAGGAAGCTATTAATTGTGAATTCACAACTGACTGATTACTCTTAGCGGGGTAAAAGGCCCTTTATTTATAATAAAATATTACACATGACTAAACTAACAGCGTTAATAATAATGCCTACAATGTCTTTCCGCCGTTGTTGCCGGAATCCTCTATACAACTAAAATATCGTTATCTCAGGCATAGTCACCATTGTTGTAAATACCCACAAAAATGTCAATCGCCAACAATTTCAATTCTGGCAGAATCGCCGAAACCGTGGATTCTGTGGCAGATTTGCAAAAATCTATGCAAATTATGCAAAGATCTGCAAAATTCTGCAATTTTGCAGATTTACTCTGGAGAAATTTCCCGGGTTACAGTACGCTACCATTTCGACTCGAAATTTTTGTCGATTTGGTTGTGCGACTAATCTATTCAGTTCATGCTGTACACCAGCTATTATATTGATACCCGGTTTTTAATAGATTCGATCATTCAGTAGACATATTTGTCACCATGCCTTATCTCAAAGATCTTTACCGTTACCCCCTTCCATTTCTGGCAAACAAGGATTGAACTTTGTCCCTTATATAGAGAGAACCACTACGTTCCTGGTAAAATTCTTAATCCTTTTAAAAATGATTACATTACCAAATGAATGCCTTATTGAAATATTTAACAAACTTCGAATTAATCGTAAAAATTTATTTTCATGCCTTCTTGTAAACCGTCATTGGTGTAGAATTATAGTACCAATTTTATGGGACGAA